AGAAGCCAGCCCAGATTGTGAGAGGGATGTCCGACTGCCGGTTTAGGCCTGATCACGGTCGGACATCCCCCAAGGGGTCCCCGATTGGAGAGGGTGCAGGCTGGGCTGAGGGCCCGCTGCCCCCGTGTATGAATTTCGTGCACCAGGCCACTAGTGTAATGATAAAAACAGTTACCCAAACTGGCCATATTTCATAAAATGAATTTTTATTAGTATTGTTGCTTAGTTTTCCTTCAAAAAATTATCGTTTTTAGAATATTTAAAATGCTGTTATGCATTTCCCACATTTTTAAATATATTTGGGTGGCACAGCAATTTTATAGAAATGATTTTTCTGTTCAAAGAGCACAGCCTTTTAGAAAATATATCCAGCAATATAAGGTTTTGTTTATTTTTTAAACCTCTCTACCAGGTGCCATTCCTTCTTATGCTTCATAGTATACAACCTCTTGCTACCTATGATTTAAGTCCTGCCTAATTATGACTCCACCTAAACCTTCCACGTTATATGTTATAGATGCTCAATAAATATGAGTAGATACATCAGTTGAGGTTTCTATAGCCTAACATTTTACTAACTGGAATGGGATAGACTAAGCTGAGTAACATCAAAGAACAAGAAGGCAATCATGACTGAAAGCTCCTTAGAGAAAATTAAACGAAAACAACTATAGACACTGAGTGTGTCCTTTATCCCCCTCCCCACCCCCAAATTCTGGCCTTTTACTAAATATAATCAAATTAGTGGGGGAGGGAGGGCATAAAACAACTACTTGAATTATTATCTGCATTCAGTATATTAAAAATCATTCTAAAGAAAAAAGACAACCTGTAGAAATATCATAACTAGAAAATAAATTATTAAAAATTCTAAATACAATAGATATTTTCAGCACTTATTAGCCTTCATAATTATGACAGATAAGAAAAAAAAGCTAATAGCAAATATTTAATAAAAAGTTCACCTGTAGGAGCTGTGCAAGGGATTAATTCTGATTTAGTCTAATACTCTGAAGTTTTGTAAATCACCCCTTTTTTTCTCCCTCCATTCTTCCCTCTCTCCTTCCAACCAATATTTATCAGCTGCTCTGTGCTGGGCATCATATTAGGCATTAGGGAGAATAAGGTGATAAATCAAATATGGAAAAGCAGCATGATACATGCAGGTCCAAATTCCACTTGCTCCATTTCAAATGAATGTGACCTTGAGCAATTTACTCAATTTCTCTGAACCTCAAAACTTGAACATTTGTAAAACAGAGATAAGCTTTGTATTGTGGGCGAAAGGAGTTAGCAAAATGTGCAGCTCATTACCTACTTTGTGGGGGTTGCAAAAATGAAAAGTGGAGCCGCCTAGTCTAACATCTGGTATTTTAGAAATGCTCACACTATAGTAATCATACTTATCATGAAGATACTTAGTTAAATGGAGATATGTATATATATCTACAATCCAGGAAATGTGCTGTGGGAGTTCAGAGTGGGGGTGGAGAGATGGCTTTTTTTGTGGAAAGCACATAACCTTTTCTGAGGAGAGTGACATTAGGGTTGGCTAAGAAGGATAGGTTTGGTCATTAAGACACATGTGGAGCCGGAGGTTGGATGGTTGAACAGTTACGCATACTATGAAGTAAAAATCCAGAGAGCATGGAGATGGGACAACTCTGAGAACAATGAGCAATTTATTTTAGTTGGATTAAAATGAATAGCAGGAAAAAAACAAACACAAAAAAACCCAAAACAGGAAGAGGTGTATAAAGGCTTTGTATGCCAGGCTAGTAAATTTGTAATTTATGTTGTAGGCGATGGGGAATGGTTAAATGTTTGGGGGCAGTACAGTGACCTGAATCATCAGTCATCAATTGAGATGTTCACTGGTGTGAATTATGCCAAATCAAGCCACAGGGTGGATTTATCTCTCTAAACAAGCTTTCTGAGAAGTTAGTTTGACAGAAAGTTCAATCTTAAAAGAATTCCTGGTACGTAAAGTGTGAGTTTGTTTGCTTTGAAACAAGGAGTTTTACTATGTTTGGAACAGGTATGATTTCCCTTTTATATTTTGAAGATCAAGCACCATGGATACATGAACTAAAATGGCCAATTTTAAACTTTGTCAGAATGTCTAGATTCTAATTTTAAAGAGTATTATTGCCAGTACATGAGTGATTAACTTTCTGAGAGGTTCTATTAGTGCAGTGGTTCTCAACCTTCTGGCCATTTAAATACAGTTCCTCATGTTGTGACCCAACCATAAAATTATTTTCGTTGCTACTTCGTAACTGTAATGTTGCTACTGTTATGAATCGTAATGTAAATATCTGATATGCAGGATGGTCTTAGGCGACCCCTGTGAAAGGGTCGTTCGACCGCCAAAGGTGTCGCGTCCCACAGGTTGAGAACCACTGTCTTAGTGGGTCATAAATTAAGGTTGGCTTTCATGTTCATCTCCTCTGGCATCCCAGCTGCAGTGTGGTTCTCACCATTGATCACAAAGGTGTAGACAACCTTTAGGTGAGAGGCCCCGTGCTTCTTTGGTGCTGAAGAGTTACTGCACCCAGCAATCAGAGAGGGACAGGCTCTGCAGGGAGGGAGGGGGGCTGGTAGTCAAGGGAAGGTGCTTACAAGCTACTGATCTTCCTGTATGGTTGAGTGTGACAAGAGCAGAGCCCACACTCATATGGAAAGGTATACCATTTTCAGTGGTTCAAGTGATGAATGATAAATTGTGGAACAGCCCAAAGAGATCATTGAATTTGACAGAACTACAGGGTTGGGGCAGGCTTCAGTGGAGGCCTGAATCTTATAAGATTCAATCAGAGTTAGTATAACTTCTTGAATTTATGTAGCAGTTTTTTATTTTTATTTTTTTAGCTAAAGTACAAAACAGAAGATATAGTCAAAATGCAACATGGGTGAAAAAGGCCTAATCGATTATATACTCAATATAAGCCAACATGCATGGACGCTTCCAAAAATGCTAATTTGGTCTTAGGGTTGTATAAACAGAAATGGAATGTTAGCTGGACATGAGAATCCAGAGTGACCCCAAACACAGCAGAGCTGTCTGTTTCCCATAACTCATGGGTCCAGGGGCAGGCTAGCTGTCACTTGCAGTTAAGTCCCTTCTTTCTACCAATATTGGAGATAAAGTGAAAAGGGGTATGTTTATCCTATATTCTAAAAGCAAAAATTTGGAGAAGCTCCTTGGTGGAAAAGAGATATTGATAGAGACTAGTTTGGGGTAGACATTCAAAGTAAAAGAGTTCTTTTAACAACACCTTTTCTTTGTAGTGTGATTTAAATTTTGTCCTGCCTGGAAGCAGGGAAAGGAACTAAATGGTCTTTTGCTTTGCCTTTGATTTCCAAAATTCTACATAATATAATTACCATTATTTGTAGAGCTAAGCAGGTGTTTTGAGGTAGTCGCCAAAAAAATAAAAAAGACTTGATCGAGATTGTTTTGAAAATGTCTTTCTCTACCCAATTGTGCAGATTATCATTAGCAATATGCCATTATGAATTATATAACTGAATTAATGATAATGGACCCATTCACATACATGCTCATTATTAATCAAAACTGAATGAGAAACATTTTTTTCTGCTCTCAGATATTTAGGACAATAACCAGCAATGACAATGCTATTCTCCCTACTCCTACCTCCCAGATGATAAATATTTATAAATCTTTTTTAGAAAAGACATGCTACTATAGAAATGTGGTGTAATTAGTAGACTGTTTTGGTTGTCAGGAAACTGAGATACAGATATTTGTGCCATTAATGATTTAATAGCCAGAGCATTCCACAAGGGGAAATTACAATCATATTATAGCAGCTAGCCAGCTGTATCTGTTGCATAACCCTTTCAGATTTATAAACATAACCCTCTCTTTTTAGTTTAAACAAATAAAGTTTCTTCAATTTATTTCAATGTTAGCTTTCAATATTCCAAAATGAGTAGCTAATGTGTTTGGGTCTAATCTCAATGATGCAATTCTCATTTGTCTGCTAACTAAAAATTGACAGCTTAATATTTGGGGATGAGAGAGAACCACTCATTACATTGAAGTGTCTTCTACATGTCTAGCTTTGTGATGTGATCTCACATAATGCACAATTCCTCCTATAAGGAGGAAAATAGGTGATATATACCTATTTACTGAACAGAGCCAAAGTGTATAGTATTTCTTATATCCATCACTTAATAAACACAGATTGAACTATTATAGACATGCAATAAATCAAGAAAAGCCCTTTTTTTGGTAAATTACCATGACCAGGACTATACTAGTACTGAGAGGAACACAAGAAAAATATAAACATAAAGATACATAAATTATTATGCTTCAAAAGTTAATGTTATTGATTGGGAAGCTGGGACTAAGACTCATGACACATATAAAATAGTCACTAAAGATTGAGGTGATCAAACACCATGTACCTTAGCGTGATAGATAGATAGATAGATACTCAAAACCCCAGATGATGGACTGCAGAGGTTCAGGAAAAGGAAGAACACCATAGTGGAGTGAAGAGTAGTGTCAAGTAGCAATCCAGCTCTCTTTCTTACAGCTGAGTCTTAGCTTCTGACCCTCTCAAGTGCCCTACCTGCTTTGGAAAGTGCTGTGAGACATGAAGGAAACACATATTACTATTTTCTATGCTCGATTTAAGAGAAAATAGAACTTTAGGGACCTGAGAATGCAACTTCCTCAGGATCAGATAGTTCTTGGTGAGCTTCCTACTAGTACACTGATTTCTAGACTCACAAATAATTATGCAGCTTCCGTACAGCTCTGACTATGCCATGCATGTAGTAACCACAAAATATCATTTTATTTGATGAAGTCAGATGTTAGGATTGTAGTAGTGGGAATGAATGAGAAGAGAATGGTCACATCAGCAGTCAAAGCCCTCAGTGTTGATGTGTATCCCAAACCTCCTGCAAATAAAATTGACCACTCTGGTTTCAGGTAACATTTTATAACCTTAAAATGCAGGCCTTAAAAAAATGGAAAAAATTAATTATCTGTATATTGAGTTAATTTTTAACTCTGATAAAAATGCCAGGTGAAGCTAACATATTTTTGATACATAACTAATTTCAATTAAAACTTATAAATGAGAACATCTGAAATATGAATAAAAATGCTTTAAGATTCTGTCATTCCTAATTTGCCTCTTAGCACATCCCAAAGTACATTTTGGGGGGGTTATTTTTTTCTACAGATCCAAGTCTTGTTCCCAAGATAAATAGGAGCTCCTGGAGGGCAGGGATAATAGCTAATGGGACACATTATTAGCATGGCATCAAGTACTGATGAAGCAAAAAAAAAATACTCACCATACTGCTTGTATTTGGTATATCCCGAAATCTGTCCAAAGTTTGAAATTTCTGATTTAGTTCCTGAAACAGTTCCATATGCCTCTTCCTTGTATGCATGACCTTCTGCAAAAGACACCAGGATAGTTCTCATTTCTAATTTGATTAATGCATTAGAAAAAGAAATTTAATAGATTTGCCTTATTAATAAGGGAAATTAAGTTTGGCAGGAACAAGGAGGTCCCAAAAGGTACTATAGATGCAAATGAGTTCCACCAAATCCTTGTCTTATAGTCAGCACTTCTTGAACATGAAAAATTGGCTTTTTCTTCTACTTACAAGATTATCAAAAAATAGGTTTCTCTTGTGGGGCATTAAAAATGTAGCAGTCATTCCTGTGTAGGATTTTCATCATTTAGAGTTAAAACTGTTTTACAAAAATTGTTACATTGTAAGAAAACACACACCACAACTTGGACTTGTAAGGCACCTGAGTCTCTCAATGTTTGCTATGGGAAATATTACTTTTTAATGTTTTATTTCTATAAACACTAAAATCCTAGCTGACTGCACTAAAGGGGGAACAGAATCCCAGGCCCTGCCATTTAAGACTGACTCAAAGCACTGAAGTGTCTGAAATAATAGGTAAGATCTAAAATCTTATACTTTCCATGTGAATACTGATAGAGTTTCGCACAAAGAAAAATCTGACCCATAGGTTTCATATATTTATTCATGAGATGGTACTGAATCTTAACAATTAGGATTCAGAGCATAAATTGTATGGTTGAAGAGTTCCTAAAATCACAGACACAAATATATATTGATACTCTTCATCCCTGGTTATAGTCTTTTCTCCCAACTTCACATTAACTGAACAAATAGAGTCATACATAAAAATGATCTTGGGTTAAGTAACATGGACTGAATCTTCTATCACAGAGCATTTAAAAGAGCACACACAAAGAAGAGTAAAATAATAAATTCCCTATATTTAAAAGTGTTATTTAAAGGAGAAAATACCTTTCTCAATTTTGATTTTTACAAGTTAAAAATATAGTATTTTGTGATTCTCTAAGTTGCGTCTTCATGTTTGTGCAAGATTTTACAGTATTTTTAAGCATGTGTTTCATAACTTACCATTTCCTCATGTGTATTGCATAGGTATATTATATTATGCCTATCCTATAATTTGAACTTTTGGTCTGTTGTTTTAATTGCCAAATATTTTCAAAAGTAAGGATTTGTTTTGAAAAAGAAATATATTGTTAGGGGAAGATCTATAATGCCTAGTTGGAGTGTCATCCCATAGACCAAAAAGATGGCAGGTTCTAATCCTGGTTGGGACAACTGATTAATGTTTCTCTCTTCCTCTCCCTTAGTCTCTCTCTAAAATCAATGAAAACATATCCTTGGGTGAGGATTAAAAAAAAAAAGCCTTATTCTCTTTTATGTCAACTTTAATGTTCTATATTTACTGAATCTGTATTTAGGCAATACTTTGTTTAGCTAATTTAGCTAATTTATTCTCTTTTTATTAGCCTACTTTTATTTGAGATAATTCTGCTATTTCAAGTCTTGCTACAACTACATTATTTTCATCTCTACTCCTCTTAGCTCTAGGAACTGTTGTTGACAAATCAAGTGGTTGGGGATGAGAACATGGCAACATTACTCATTATGGGGACATGAAACATAGCAAGCAATTATAGAGCGATTAACTTCCCATCAGTTTTGGGGAGAGTACAGGAAACAGATTTGCAGGATTTACAGGGAAACACCAGGCAAACATAATTTGACTAGTGATGGCTGATAGAGATTTATAAGAGGGAGGATTTGCATAAGCAACTCCATAGAGGGATTCTGAGGACCACGCAGCTGGCAAACATATTGCAGTACATTCTATCCTAGGGGAGGCAGACATTCCCACTCATTATCAGGTCCCGAGACACTGATTAAAATACAGATTTGTGGACAAGGAATACCTTTTTTGAAAAGTATAGTAGTCAGTATACTGATGACTGGTTCTAATTTACAAATAGTATTTTTCATGATCATGAATCTTACTATGTAGCTATTTTCTGCTAAGGTATAGTAGCAGTGATGCCACACAAATGACATTTCTCTAAAGGTATTTCATTCTGTTAGATAATATACCACATGTTGTTCTAGATGCTGCAGTAACAATGGTGTGAAAAACTTGGCAGAGTTCCTGCCTTCTAATAACTTGAGATACAATGAAGGACATAGGCATTAATCACATAACTCAAATACATGTTAAATTAGAGCTGTGATAAGGAAAACAAATGGCAGTGTTATAAGAGTAAGTGATAGGGGAATTTGCTAAAAGAAATGTAAGTAAATGATTCCTACATTTTAATGTATTCATATTTAAGTGGAAAATTCTTAAATCAGTTCTCCCTGTATATTGTCTGTTCCCTTTTTCGTTTGCTGAAATTCAGAGAATTGCTGGTATAATTTTTATCTTATACCTAAATTCCCTTCCCTCAATGAGCTTGTCCTTTCCCAAAGACAAGGAACTCATTGTCTTCTAAGATAGTTGATATTATTAGCACAGCTCCTCCGTTTTAACGTGGGCATATGATTTTGTGCAGTCTCCTTTTATCTTTCAACTCATGAGAGGATTGTCACTTTGCATTGGGGAACTAGCAGTACTTCCCCATGCTATTGAAAATGTGAATCAAGGCCCCTACTGTCCCCTGGCCAAGAGGTAAATTTTTTCCATACCCTTCCAACAAAGTTCTCTTTTGTTTGTTAAAGACACTTTGTCTCTTGCAACCAAATATCTCTATTAGATAAAGCAAGTTTAATGACTCAAAGGCTCAAATATATCTCATAGAACTGAGGATACATTAGCTGACTGGAATGTTTATAATCATATTCGGACTGAATGGGCAGCATCTGATTCTGAATTGAGTAGATTTTGAGAAACTGGATTTCTTAGAATATACTCAAAATATATGTGGTAGACACCAATGTTATATAACCAAAAAGCATTTTGCAATGTTCTACATAGGTTCATGAGAGCTCCTCTGAATATTAAAGCTCAAGGACTCAAATTAATTTGGAAATAAAAAAATATGGATGCTGCAATCTGGGGCCTTTCCTACCAAAAAACACACAAACATTAATTGCAAATATATCTTCATGCCAGATAATCATTTTAATTTGAAATTCCCACTTTGGTGCTGCCAGAAATCACCATAGCAATGATGACCTGGTAGTTCTGACAGAAGTACCACATTAGAACTGCTAATCGACAACTCATGTATGTCATGGGCATGATTCCTTCCTGTTCACAAACAAGTGTTTCTTTCAGCTTTTAGTGGGGAAGTTTCCAATGACAAGAAAGCTGGCAGCACAGAAAGTATTGGAGAGTTTCTAATTCAGCAATGTTTGAGGATAAAAACTTAGCTGTGGTTTTAGTTTTAACAAGTAATAAGTGTTTCCCCTTATTTACCTCTCAGAATAATTATTTCTTTATAGCATTCATGCTTTTGATAGTTTTAACCACCCAATGAGAATTTTGCATGTTTATAAATCTTACTGGTCCACTTTAATGGCTATTTGGGGGTTTTTACTAACCTTAGGGTTTATTTATTTATCTTTTTCATTCTTCTGTGACTCATCCTGTGTCCCAAAGAAATTGACTTCTGTGTGAAAAACTCAATTTAGAACTCAGTTTTCTAAAACTTTGTAATGATGAAATTGTAACTCATATGGATTTTCTACTTAAATACATATATTTTAATTGGCAATATATAAAAAATTCGCACTCCTTCAGTTACAATACCTGTCAGCTATTAAAGGTATCTTTTGTAATAAAGATAAAGGCTTAGTAATGTTCCCTTTCACTCAAATTATTATCACTCAACATTTTTTGAAGCTGTGTATGAACCTATACCCTAACTGCACAAAAAAACAACGTCTCGTGAAAGGCTTGTGTTTCTTTGCAGCCTTTTAATTGTTGATATTAGAGAAAAAAATGATAAGCTGTAAAGCACTTTCATGGAATTTGTTATTTTAAAAAACATCAGGATGTAAACAATCTGTCTATCTTGAGCATCTATTGTATCCCAGGTGATTTCCTAGATGAAATACTTGGGTTATGTCAAATCTAAGAACTCTAGGTCTGGACAAACTTGGATTTAGATCTCATTCTATCGCTTTCAAGTTGTGTGGTCTGAGGCACAAAATCCAATCATCCTTTCGCCCCAGTTTTAATAGTCTGAATAACCTTGCAGGGTTGTTTTGAAGATTTAAAAAGGGATATAAGTCACTTATCAGTGGAGACCCAGATAAGAGCCACTTAACACGTTAAGTGCCCAGCCTGTTTGGTCTTCTGGACTGAAAGTATAGTGTCAGTCACCAGTGATTGACATGGCGCTTAAGAAATGTAGCCATTATTATCTTTCTTAATCCTCACAATGACCCTGGGAGGTAGCAGTCATCGTCTCATTTCACTCATTAGGAGACTGAAGCTCAAGAGGATCAGTCAAGCTCTCAGGCTCACACACGTGGTGAGAGAGCTGAAATTCATTCTATTCCACAGTTGGTTTTCTGTCCATGCTGCTATCTTAGATGTATCCCAGAGATGCAGGGAGCGTCCTCCCTAGACTGTTCAAGCCTGTGATTATGCTATTCAGGTGAAAAGGAGATGAAACAATCTAGGGTGGGTTAGCTGCCTTTTGTTGTGAGCCCATAAACTCTGTGGTTATTGATCACCTGCAACTATCCCACAGGTCTGCATTAATCTTTTGAAAGGTTGGTCTTCATATCTCTCTCTGAACACCTTCTGGACAGTGACTTAGTATCCCTGCCACTTAGCACCATGTTTGGCATTCAGCAGGTGTTGGGTAAGTGTGCATGGAATGCATGACTATAGTCAGACTTTTACCAACAGAAAAGGTGCTAGAAAAAGTTGGAGAAGTTTCTGACTATAAACTTTAGATTATGGGGCCTGGAAATCATCTGCTGACAGGAATTAGAAACCACTTTGCCTGAATTAACTTTACCAGCCTTAGAAGTTTATATACTTCTATGGCTACTGTCCATATTTACTGTTCTAAACCTATGGCTATTTTTATTCTTTACTGCTTTGCATAGAAGGCTTACATCCAGAGTGGCTGTTAATACTAGTCTGAAATGAATGTCAAAACTCTTGTTATGGAAACAAAACACATTGCAGAAATTTAGCTTGATTTTAGTGAGACAGGAAGGGAGAGGGATAGATAGAAATATCGATCAAATGTCTCCTGTACACCCCCTACTAGGGATCGAGCCTGCAATCTGGGCATGTGCCCTCACCTGAAATCTAACCAATGACTTCTGGGTTCATGAGTCAACACTCAACCACTAAGGTAGCAGGGTCTTAGCTTGATTTTTAAAGCTGGGTGGGAACAGAATGTTTTATGTACCTTTCCTTAGCCAGAGTCCCAATGTAGCCACTTGAACTGCCTGACATAGTATCCTTGGTTTCAAGTATGTTTCTATTGGAATAAATAGCACCCAGGGCTTAAAAGAAACTAGACAAAAGGGTCTGATAAACTGAATATATATATATACATAATATATATACATATTTTGTCACTGTCAACAGTATACTTGGCTACAAATAACTTTGCAGCAATATAAATTTAGTAATATAGAAGAGAGAGATGTGACTAGTACTGCACTGCTCAAACTTTTCCTTGGGGATGTGCACTGATTGCCTAACAAGTGCATTTACTGCTGGGGGTCAGTCAGGGACAAAGCAGGGAGGGGCCTAGATGTTTCTTAGGATTCATATGCTTTAATTTAGAAATTAACATAAAATGTATCTTCTATGTCAGCGATTTTCAATCAGTGTGCCAAAAGAACTTTTAAAACATTATGCAATACCTGACTATTAAGTCAGGAGCACTAACCTCTTTTCCCTTAGATTGTCAAATAAAAAAATAACAGCCAACACAATAGCCAAATAGTATGAACAAATCCAATCAGTAAAAAATATATTTTTTGGTATGCCGCATAATTTTAGTATTTAGTTTATGTGTCATGAGATGGGAAAAAAAATTGAAAACCTCTATTCTATGCCATAGTTTCCCTGTCTTCATAGTGATCTAAAATAACAAAGTAATATTTTATCTTAACTATGTTTCCCAAGATCTTCTAGGCCATGGTTAATATAGATCTGTGCTGCCTTGTGCCCTCTGCTCACCTTTACCTCTCTCCAGTTTGAAAAGCGAAAAGGGTATGTGATGTGTGAGGCTCACTAGGAACTTCAAAGGAATTCTAAGGTGTGTATAAGAGCCTGCATGGTTCCCACAGAAGAATATGACAAGGTTTATTGCCATATTTTTGGAAGAGAAAATAAATAATTAGCATGGAATGGAAAACAATGTCCATTATAGTTTCAGAATGGATGTTTATACTTACATTACTAAGAATTACCTGAGCTTCATCATCAACCCATACAGAAAATTTAAACTACTTGCCTAATATTTCTGATTTAATACTGTTAGACATCTTAATTCATATAGTATTAAGTGCAACTCATCCTAACAAGGTGTCTTAATTTCCCTGGATCTGTTGATAGTACTAGAAACCCAGGCTCAGGCCTGCAAAGTCAAGGACAAATTCCATAGATCTTGACTCTACCCATCTACCCATCCCCTTCTTACCCTATCACTTCTAGGAAATGGACCTTATTATTTCTTACCTGGACTAGTTACTTTCTAATTTGTATTTCAACTTTCACATTCACCCTATTCCAATCTATCCTTCCTATTACTGCCATATTAATCTTTCCAAGCCCAGATGATAGCAAATCATTCCTCACTAAAAAACAAAACAAAATACAACAGAGAAGCCCTAGCAGCTTTTAGTAACAAATCAGGTAAAATTTCCTCTCTTAGGGTATAAGTTCTTTGCAGTATGGTTTCTAAATTACCTCCTCTGTCTATTCTTTTTTTGCATAGGTTCCATGTTTCAGTGACATACAACTTGCTTCTTGTTTCTTGAGCATGTCATCACACCTTAGCCAACTTCTACCTGCCATTCACCTCCTTGAGTTACATATGATGTGGATATCTTTGAGGTGTCACCTCCATAGCTGTCAATCCATATACTGGTCTCTGCCTCAGTTTAAATACAGTGTTGGTTAACTTTTTGTTTGTTTTTTGTTAATGATCACCTGAGGATATTTTTCCATTGGATTTTGGAAGAGAGTGGGAGAAGGAGGGAAAGACAGAAATATCAATGTGAGAGAGACACATCCATTGGTTACCTCCTGCATGCACCCCAACCAGGGCCCAGCCTACAATCAAGGTACATGCTCTTGACCAGAATTGAACCCGGGACCCTTTGGTCCTTAGGCCAATGCTCTATTCATTGAGCCAAACTGCCTAGGGTGGTTAACTTTTTATTAAAGCAAAAAGTTACTGAATGTTCACTATATTACAAATCTCTGCTTGGAGCTAGGAATACAGATCCAATAAGAGGTTTGGTCACAGAATATCAGTGTAGTATTTTCTGTATATTTTCCAAGAACCAAGAACCAGTGTTCTACCATTTTATGACCAGTCAACACTTAGTTCTGTTTATTCCAAGAATACAGTGTTGTCTTAGGGATGGTTACATGGAAGGACTTTTCTCAGCTATAGTGCTTACTAGCCACAGAGTTTTATGGGTGTATGAGTTGTATTATCCTGTGTAAATTCTCTGGCAGGTGTAAGGCCTAAAGTCTGAAGGAGGAATGCTTTCAGGAGTCCAGAAGGCAGTTTGTTTGTCAGTGGCAAAATGCCTAACTTAGCCATTGTGTGGTAAAGCTTATGGGCTGGAGAGCTATCAGGATGCTTGGCATAAACAAGTTAGATTCATGCACACTAAATTAAAAGGGGAAGAAGATAACTTAGACTTCTTCGAGGGCCATCCACAAAGTAAAAGTAGATTATATTCAAACTCATCAACATTTAAATTTTTTCTGATTATAATTTGAGATATCTGCCACAGAACTAAAGTTGTATATTGACTAAGGGAAATAGTACTACTACATGGTTTGGAAAGAAAAAACAATAGCTCAAAGTTATTTTCCCCCAAGTTTTAATGCCTTTTGCAATCATGCAATAACTATAGCAATTAATGAGCTAAAAAATATCCAGGGTTGTCATGCTACAACATTTCTTCATCAGTATGTTTTGAAAATACCATGTTATATGTTAGAATAGAATACTAAAGCAGAGAAAGAAGTATCAGCTTAAGGAATCTGCTACCAGTTGCCATAGAGAATATATTTGAAAAATGAAAGTTTTTCTAATGCTCTAAGTGACACAGTATGATTAGATTTCTTTTCAGTGCTTGAGATTACATAATTTTGGCTGGTTGCACTGAGGCTTAATTTTTTATCTAGGTTTTCATATTTTGTCCCTGATGCCAGTGGGTTAATCCCCACCTCCTTGTCTTTGTTCTACCCTTACAACTTACTGCTTTTAGGCCAATACAACACAAACACAATATGATCTTCTGTTTTTTACTAACTGAAGAATGGGGAGGGGTATCTATCCCTTTAAAAGTACTTAAGAGCCCTAGCTGGTGGGCTCAGTGGTTGGAGGATCAGCCAAAGGACTGAAGGGTTCTGGGTTCAATTCCAGTCAAGGGCACATACCTTGGTTGCAGGCTCTATCCCTGGCTTGGGCACATGTAGGGGGCAACCAATCACTGTGTCTGTCTCTCCCCCTCCCTTTCATTCTGTTTCAATGGAAAAAATATCCTCAGGTGAGAATTAACAACAAGAAAGTACTAAAGAACTTAAAAGTAGAAGATTGCTGAATTTATTCTCTTTGAATTTATAGTCCTTATCTTTTTGCCATAAAAACTTAGGATATAATAAAATACTCATCCCATGTCAGATTGCTACAATTGAGCCATGTCAGTACTAACTGCTATATTCTTTATCATCATTTAGTATCCTATACAAATACTACTGAAATATTTCTAAAAAAGACATATTTTTTACTCTATTCATGGTTAAACCAGACCTTGTTTACCATTGCAGTAAATAAAAACAATTAAATCTCATTTTTGATACCTCATGTATGTTACTGAGCAACAACATTCATTTACATAAATGAAATGATTAAATTATGACTTGCCATGTTCTAGGAGGCTCCCATAATTTTAGGAATATCAGCTAAGAATATTGTTTTATGTAAGCATCACAACAGCACAAATATGTTGGAGCAATTTATGATGTAGTATATCCAATTATGTCAGCAGGCTATGAATCATCTCCAATTATCAAGATGCATAAGTGCATTTTATGTGATGCTCAAACATCATTAATTTTGTGCTTAGCATAAACCGTTCAAATGACATGATTTCAGTAATTTCTAGCACCGATATTGCAGCATCAATATAAATTCAATGTAAATTGGAAAATGAAGAACTTCATCTTTATCTCTATGAAAAGGCATTTACTAAACACAGGAGCAAATTGAACCTACACTTGCGATTGGAAAAAAGAATCTGGAAGGTACCTGAGAGAACCTAAATAATAGGAATCAAGACACAGGCAAGTAAATCCCAGAGAAAGCCTCGCTAACCAGCCAAGGCATCCCCATGGTCTCTCTTACAGCTGTCACAAAGTAAAACAGTTATAATTGTTTTAAATATGAAAGATTAAAGATAGAACATTCCCACCTCCCAGCAAACTGAACTGACCAAGGTCAGGCCTTACCATAAGTTACCCACATATGTTGCCATTTATAAAATGATTCCTCATTTCTCACTTGTCTGGAAAATCTCTGTTTAGCATATATTTAAGTAATTAGAGCTTTAAATTTTTTTCTATAACTAATATAGGTTTTAATTAAAAATTAAAAATTTTTTCACTTCTCTCCCCCTCCCTTTCATTCTGTTTTAATGTAATTTAGAAAAGAACCTCGACATAGTTGCACAGAGTAATGTGTTTAAGTAATTATATATCAATTTTAAATTCAAGTAATTAAAATTATTTTTAAAAAATCTTAAAACTTACCTCAAAGTCAAGGTCTGAATATCGTGATTTTCTTCTCTGTTAGATATTTTTTTAAAAGAAGAAAAACCAATAAAGTTGTATTTAGTCATTGAAATGAAAATTATTTTCAGTAAAATAATTCTGCTTCTTTATAAGTATTGCCTTCTCATAAAAATGTGAAAAGGTTTATGATTTCAAACTATTCTATACACATTATATAAAATGTAACATTATGTATCATATAAAAGAATATAAAAATATTTCTCATCTGTATCTCTTAACTCTAATTTTTTAGTAAGGTGAAATTTTTCTTTGAAAAGTCACACAAATTTCAATATTGAAGGAGACTTGAGGTCTAGTATAGTAAAACTACTTTGGAGACAAAAGAGATTAAAAGCTGTGCAGGAGAAAACATCTAGCCATCTTAAGACCTCATACCAACTAAACTCTAAAGTTCTATATAAATCTCACCAACAAATGTCTATATATTTTTTATACTCCTCCACAGCAGGGAGGAAGTCCTTCTAATTGCTGGTCCTTCCTTATGATGTCAAGTTTTTAATCATAATTTACTAAAACAAATAAATATGCCCCCCCCCCCCCCGCAAAACATAGATATAATAGCTTACAGAGCTACTCTATGGCTCCAGCTCTGTTAAACAGTTCCTATAATAGAGATAAATATGCATAAATAAAATAAAGTAATTAGGCAGCAGGCCTGATAAAAATCGGTAAACATAATTAAAATGAAATTAATGTGATGATATTTTATTAGCATAGGGAAGGGTATTCTTAGCATCTGCTCCAAGAAGTCGCTGGATTCATAGGATGACTCCGTATAAAAGGAGATGGCTGATAAATATAGGAAAGGTCCTCCAAATTTTCTAGTACAAAACAAGTTTCTAATATTGGGTGTTTTTGTGGGGCAGGGGATGGGGATGAAAGAGGAAAAATTAAATAATCAAAACAAGTAATCTTCAGGCAATTGTAAAAAATATTTAAACCTTTGGACAAACTTCTGTTTTATTTTTTTCCTCTTCTCCTCTCCAATATATACAGTCTTAAGTACAGAGACTTAACAAGGAATCACATCCAAGTTAGGTGGGAGACTCTTGTAACTGTGAACATTAGTAGAGACAGAAAGGCACTCGTAGTTTATTGAGAAACCTGACTAAACTTCTGCTACTAGTGTTAAAATGGTCACTGTAAAACCAGACCCTCCCTATGGAACCAACTCCCCAAAGCTTGTTACAGTAGACAGAAGGTAATATGCCAAAACAATAATTTTGCTGTTAAAAAAAAAGTTGAAAAGTTCTGAAATAATTTGATTTTGGTGGACCTGGATTGAGAAGCCTGTCTCCATATACCGTCAAATTAAATGGAAACTCAGCACGTTGATGTCCCTTTGCTCCATGTCCCCAGCATTAGCCTAGCCTAGCCCTGGTGACATCCTGGAAGGAGGGGAGTGGGCAGGCATTTAACCTAGACCTCCGTCGTCATCTCCCTGCCACTGCTGTTATCTAACTGCACTATGCTAGACTAAATGTCAGCGTTCCCATTCGGCCCTTGGATGTGTTCCCTTCTTGGCACTGTGATTCAGTAGGATGCTTTTTGTAAGTATACATTAAGCAAAATTATTTCCTAATACAGCAGATCGAAGTAGGGAAACACTTAGCTTTAAGCAATTATTATGGAACATTAGCCACGAGCTTTGTGTTCTATTTGAAGATTGAATAGTGAAATCTCATGAAAAAGGTTCCGCTAGCTAGAGAGTAAGGGGCTCTTCTGCTGTACACGTGGAGGAATTCTCTGTTGCTTCTTTGACTGCAAAGCTGTGTTGCTAAAGGCTCCATGTCTTATGAGCAAGAACAAAAGATGGGAACCTAGAAAAACACCAGGGATTCTGCTTCCTAGAGCAGATGTCACCTATGTCAATGTGAAACATGGAAAAGGAAATGTATATACTCCTACAAATAGATTACCCTGTCTTCCATTTCCATTTACTAAAATTAAATTCTAACATAAAGGTATGTAACAGAACAGGCAGCCTTGAGGGATTAACGAAGAAATAAACAAATGAAGCAGATTTCTATCAAAAGAGCCTAAAGATGGGAAATAAAGCAGTGAAGACTTAAAAATGAGAGCGTGGGGAAATGTGGCAAATTTTCAGAGCCCAAGAGAGGTAAAAATTGGTCTAATATTCATATCCCCACAATACTGACCAAGGGTCCCAACCTTTTACAGCTTATAAAGTGTTTTCACATATGAGCATGTTGACTGCCCTGTGAGATGGTTGGGAAAGTATTATTTACCATCCCCATTTTATGGATGAGAGAACTGATGACTAGAGAAGTTAAAGTAACTTGTCCACTTCACCTGGATAATGAGCAAATGAGTTGGGATTCACACTCAGGTCTTCTTACTCCAAACCTTGCGTTTTCTCCACCCTCTCACTAACAGCTCAGTGGTACAATGATAATATTTTTGTAGCAAAGATGCCTGTTATATTTTGCAGATTGTTACTAGAACTCATCAAGAACAACATTAGAGGACCCTGTTAATCCAAGACTGACAACAGTGGACAGAGATGCCCTCTAAGCATAAAGCAAGGTAACCAGATTGACTTGTCAATTATTTTTTAAGGGAAAACAGCAATGATACTTTAAAGAGAAAATCTGATGGCAATATACATATTATTGTTGAGTAAAATCACAACTATTCTAATATAGGATAGTTTATGAGCAATGATACCCTGACAAAGAGTAGCTGACTTCTCCATCTCCTATTGCAAAATCTACTTTACCTTAAAGAAATATCTGGCACTGGAAGAGTGATGGTGTGATGGGAAAATCGGAATGTTCAGTCTGGTCAATTTTCCAGGTCAGTTTTCTGTCCTCATCTCACTGGACTTTCAGAAGATTTGGAAAGTTAATCGTTTCCTCATTAAAACACTCAACATCGGTCTGCTTTTCCTTTTTTTCCTCCCTCTTATTTGCTGTGGATCAATCTCAAGTCTCCTTTGCTGGCTGTTTCTCATCTCCCTGCCTTCTTATTGTGGAGTTATCTCCCAGAAAATAGAATCTATTTCATGGTTTTAAATACCATCCTTTCAATTTCAAACACTCTCTTTCTTCTTGTTTTTTTTTTTCCTCCCCCATCACTGAAAAAGTTGTATATCTAATTGGTCAAGTTAGAAACTGAGGAATCACCCTTTTCTTCCTTCTGTTCCTCATCCTGCATGTCAAATCCATCAGCAAGAGCCATCTGTTCTACCTCCAAAATACTTCTTGATCCACCCACTCCCTCTATCTCTACTTGCATCACTTTTATGGATTACTTCAGTAGACTCCTAACTATCCTCCAGCTTTCTGTTCCAGTTCCTTTTCTCCAACCACGGGATCCTAATTCTTCCTCTTCCAATCCATCAAAGGGGTCGATGGATAGAGAAATGATAAAGACAGTCCTCACTTGCTTCCATTGTTTTAGAAGGCCCTGCACAATCTGCTCTTTTCCTATTCCAACTTCATCTTAAAGAGCTCACCCCCTGCTACAAAGGTCTTCTAATCCTATGAGAATATTCCAAGCTCTCTTAGCTCAGTACCTCTGCACTGTTGTTGTTGTTTTTTTAAAATCTGAATCCCTTTATACTTCAGAAGGCTCCCCAGACCACCTTAGATAAAGAAGTCCCCCTTCATATTCCACAGTTATTTCTCAGAACGCTACCTAGTTTTAGATGACTCATTTGTTAAAGGTTAATTACCTCTACCACATGGGCAGGATCCCCATCTCTTTTGATCACTTTTATATCCTCAACATCTAGCAGAAGGCCTGGCACAAAAGCACAGATTCACAAAATTATTGATGAATGATTGAAGGCACCGCACTGTGGCAGGTGAACAAATCCAAAGGAATGAGACTTGTTTGCCGCCCCGCCCCCCTCAGGAATACTCTGGGAGAATTAAGAGAAGTAAGTGGATGACACAAACCCATTATGAATAGATCAGTTGACAGCCCAGAGAATCAAGACAATTTTTAGGAAACCAGGCTTATCACTAATAGAAGAAAAAAAATGCAGATGGTACGAGGCTACTCTGAGCAATATTTGGTGAGTATATGCGTAGAGGCATCGCTCCATATGTAGTTCTTATAGAATAATGAATACTCTCTCAAAGGGAATACTGCATTGTCTGTGTCACTGCACATTAAGCTGGACAGGACATTGGAAGATTCAGTGAGGGATATATTCCACTGACTAATAAATGCAATGTGATTGCCATTAAAAGATTCTCTTACAAAGTTTTTCACTCAGAGAGAAAGCTTTAATAATCTGTTTGTGACTATAAAACCTGAGTAATTAATTTTAAAAAATGACTTTTATTTAAGCTAATTTTGTTTGTGTGCCAGCACAAAAGATAAAATTTCCTAATTCAGGAGGAAAACCAAAACACTAAAGAAGGCCAAGGCTTCTTTTCCTCACAGCCATATGAGAAAAGAATTTAAAAAAAAACACCCAAACCTTGCTTTGGCAAATGTCAGTTCTGATGGTTTCTATTCATACAGTCTCCTACATGACTGTCTCCTACTTCTCAAGTGAGGCCATAATATTTTGTCTAATATCCTGAATATCGATTTAGACCAGCATTAAAGCCTCTTCACAGACATTAAAGGTGTAATGGTAGTAAAATAATAACACAACCTCCCATCTGAAGCACTCCTTACAATTTTCAAAGGGTTTACACATACATTATCTAATTTGATCCTCACACTGGCCATAAGGGAGGCCCCTGTGGTGTGACATTATACCTAAAATGTTTTATCTCTGAAAATCATTATGCTAAGAGCCCTACAATTCATGTCTAGAGGAAAATGGGGAAACAAAAATTTAGTTTAAGAATGGTGGCCCTTTTCACCTACTTAAACTGAGAGAGATTATTTGACATGTTTTCAGATATATAGCTAAGTTTATATATAAACTAGCGGCCCGGTGCACAAAATTTGTGCACGGGCCAGGGGAAGAGGTGTCCCTCAGCCCGACCTGCACCCTCTCCAATCCAGGAGCCATCAGGGGATGTCCTTCTTAGGCCCACTCCCCGTGGTTCTCTGCTCTCTGTCTGCGGGGCCGGGGGGCTTCGCCACTATTGCAGCAACGAAGCCCCCACATCCTGCTGTTTGCTCTCAGCGGTGGGGGTGAAAGGATTGGGGGACTCCAGCCTGGCTAAGGGGATTGGGCATCGCCATCTTTGTGACAGTGTGATGGTCAGTTTCCATATTCCCTCTTTATTAGATAGGATGGACAAAACTGGAGCTTTGTTTTGATAAAAATCATTTTGTAATCTAGCTACCTCTGATTAACTATTAAGGGTTTCTTTATTAATAATATAACTTAGGCAAGATTTGTCACAGGAATAGCAGAATCCACTTAATGTGTTTCATAAGAATTCAAGTGATGAGGAGCCATATAAGGGACCATGAGGTAACCTAGATATTAGCAAGAGAAGAAGCCACTGTGCCCAGCCAGGCTGGATTGACAGAGGGAGATGGCATAATGACCTGAGCCCAAGGACCAGGTACAAGCACTCTCGAACTGCAGCTAAAGAGACACAGGGTGCTGCCAAAGCAGAGAGAGCAGGGAGAAATATCCTGGGGTTCTCTCTTCTCCCCCACTTCCTATCTCTCTCTTGTCTTTCCTATTGGCAGTCTTCTCACTGGCCAGAAGCCAGTGACACAGAAGCCTGTATCAACTCTGAGTGATACAGGAGAAAAGGATGAAGAATAGATCATGTGCCAAACAGGCTCAGGACATGCAGGCAAGTTGGGAAGACAGCTGGGTGAAGAAATGTTTACTATCTAGATCTAACAGCTACAAGCTGTTGAAAAAATATACCAGTGTTCCATTGATTCAAAACAACTACTGACCTATCTTCTTAACAATGATATACCTATATTTTTTCAAAAAATAAACAGAACCACAATATAAGATTTGAACTATATTTCATAGTCCTCAGTGGTTTGAGAACCATGATACCTCTTTTTCTCCCCACTTTTCCATAGCAACTAGTATCTTTTTGCTTTCTTTATGTACGTACTATACACTCAACACATTTTGTTAATTAATTGAAGGTGAATAATTTAAATGCGTGTGATAATTTCATTTTTCTTAAGCAAAGAAATTAGAGCCATTGTGAGAAATTCTACCATAGTAATGTTTTAATTAATCCATAATTGTGAAAACGAAATCTACATTTTTCAGAATTGTTTAACAAGTCCATTCTGGGAATGGATACAGTTTGGAAGAAAGAAGATGAGAAAAAAACAAGGTACTATCAGGCAGGGAGACAATATTTTTCATGCCAAGAAACTTCATGAAAATATAATGCTTTCTACACTCAATAATTAAGGGTTAGCTGAACAAACTCCCCGGGAGGTTGGAGCCTTTTCTGCTGGCACTGCCTTCGGGATTGGGGAGCCTCCCTCTTTTTATGTTGCCTCCTGCTTATTTGAATAAATACTTTCACCCACTCTTTGGCTTTCCTCTTTTCTCCCTTCTCTTTTCCTCTCTAACACTGAATTCTATGCTACATTTTACCCTGCTCTTTCTTTCTCTCATCGCTTCCCACCTGGGTAATTTGTGAACACCCACTCCTCTAGAGGAAATGTCTTGAATTAATAATAACATCTTTTTAGCCTTGAAACTATCTGACCATCCCTGTGGCTGCAGTCTCCCTTCTCACTCAGAGCGGGACAAGACAAATTGTTCTGTGGCCTATGCCTCATGTCATCCACATATCTACCCACTAAGACTTGTCTCCTCCTGGCTATTGTTAACCCCCACTCTCCACGGAGGTACTCTAGTTATCTTTCTGATTTTCCTCTGTTGTCAGAATATCATCTTCCCCATCGGTTGGTCCTATAGATACAGCCTAGCAGAGTTGACAACTCTTACAATGAATCTCTCTGCTCATTAAGAAAGCCATACCACTGACTTTATTATCATGGTTTGTCATTGGCGACTTGCCTATCTCCAAAATCTGAAGTTATATACACCTACACTTGATCCATTTCATGTCTTTATCCACTCTAAGAGCAAGTGTCAGTCAGGGTTAAGTGAACTTTATATTTTCTTGCAGGCTAATGTTCAGGCACATTGCTGTCTCTTTAGAGAGTTGTAAAATTGATCAGGACAGAAAGATTCTCTTCCAGGGTTTGCTATACACTTGCTCTGTAGCCTTGAACAAATGACTTTAAGGATTATAACAACTTATCCATTGCACAGAAGTGTTGTGAAGATTAATTCATGTTTTTAAGGTGATTTGAGGCTCTGCTAATGAAAGATGCTATATAAATGCTAATTTTTATTATCCATTCCACATCTATATATTTTCTTTCAGCTAGCTGTCTCCTAAAATGGTTACTGTAAGCAATTCCTAACTAGTAGACTAACTATGAAACTCTTCTAAAGAATGAAAATGAGGAATTGACTTTTCATTCTGAAACCTGAATTTTCTTCCTTCTCAAGATACAAACCTTGTGATCTCCAAGTCATTTAAATGCAGATCTTTTGGCTGAATCATAGCTG